ACATCTGGAGGGGTCGCTCTGTCCCTGCTCACATCCAGCTGCAGTGGGGGACGCGGGTCCCATCTCGTGGGGCACGTGTCTCGTCTGATGGGGCAGGGGGCTGCCAGGCTGGGGTACGCTGTGGGCATCTCTGGGGGCTAAAGGCAGCCAAAAGGGGTGCCCAGCTGGGCTCCGTCCAGATGGGCTGAGTCCCCAGCTCTGTGCAGAAGGGTCAGCACAGTGATGGGGCCTCACCCCTCTCCTGCTGCTTATTTGCTCTGTCTGTTCAGGGCAGATTTCTGGTGAAGTTCTGTGTAGTGCTCTGTGTCGTGCCTGTGGAGTCGCTGTCAGGGTGTTACAGCTGTGAGCAGGATTTGGATCACAGCAATCCCGGTACCTGCTCAGCATCCCACTGTTCTGGCCCCTTGCAGCTGGGCACCATGGGAATCTGCACGGATAAACAGATTAAATCTGCCCTGTGTTTTACTTGATCCGGACATAAAGTCATATTCATTAACTTGTGGGTCACTGCGCGCCTGAGCGAGCATCATACGGATTAGCAGAGACTCTAAAAGGATTTGGCAGCACTGGAAGTTCAAGGAGCAGCTGGAGCTCTGGCTGGGAAGAGTTTGTGGTTCCCAGTGGTGCTGTGACACCGTGCTGCCCCTTGTGGGGCACAAAGCCCCTCGGGCTGGGGGGAGGCTGCTCTCTCTGCCCCCCTGGGAAAACATTATTCCCTCGTGTGCTGGGGTACAGCACTGGCTGGGGGCAGGTGGAGGGGTGCTTGGAGGAAATGAAGTGTTGCTCAGTCTCAGGCTGCAGAGTTTGTGTGTCCTGGGAGTGTCAGTATAAATACTGATGGCTTGATACATACATGGTGTCTGTACAGACATGGGGATATACAAACATTTGTAGTAATAGCAAGATCAACCACATATTGCATTGAATATTTATATAAATGTTAAAACCATGTTAATTTTAAAATACATAAATATAAATAAAATCCATAAAAGTTAAATAATTTATGTAAGTACTTGTGCGTCCATATGTCGTTGATGCATTTGCTAATGCTGTTATGAAATGAGGACTGGGGACATTTGGAGGTATCCCAGCAGCCACCTTACCCCAGGTCAGGGTGGCTAGGGCTGGACAGGTGCTCAGCTGACATCACTGTGGGTGCAAAGAAAAGTGCCAGAGGTGTGAATATCTCCCTATCCCCATGCCCATCCTCATGCCACTGTTGTGGCTCTGGGCATCATTCTGTGCTTCTTCGGGGCTGAGGAGGAGGAGGGACCCACAGGCAGCAGGAGCAGCAGGGAGGGTTTTGCTGCTGAGCTGGTGTCTTTCCTTCTGTTTTGTGCTGGCAGTCTGCTTGCTCTGTTTGCTTTTTTCTTTCTTTTTTTAAATCCTGTTGTATTTCATGGCAGTCGGACAGCTCCCGTAGGAGTGCTATTAGCTGTGCAAGCCAAATGATCCATTAGAGGGGTTGAGGCTTTTATGTACAAGAATCACACACAAAGACGTCATTAAGTGGTCACTTTGGTGTGTTTTCACATGAAAGCGTTCACTTTGAAAAGTGTCAGCAGAGTGCTGCCATCAGGATCCCTGTGCCACAGCAGCAGCCCTGGGGGAGCTGAGGGGGTTCACGGGGGTGATGCCCTCACCTCCTTGCCCGGAGATGTGTGTTTGCCCCCAGCTGGTATGCTGCTTGCTCCCAGTGCTGTTTGGGAGTGCCCAAACCCGCAGCCCCTCCATGGCAGGCTGTTGGGCTGTCAGCTGGGGGGCTGCAGGGTCTGGAGGGCGAGCACTGCCCCCAGCTCTGGGATGGCCCTGAACTAGCACTGGTTACAGTGTGGGAGCAGCTCTGCGAGAGGCGCCTGTGTCCCACAGCATCACACAGGGCAGGAGTGGGTGCAGTGACCCCTCCAGCAGGTGTTGGGCTTGTCTGCAGTCAGGCTGTGCATCAGCCTTGTGTAGAGGCTCAGCGATTGCAGCCCTGCCTCTGACCAGCCCCAGAGGTGGAAGTCACTGACTCATGGGGCTGCAGGCTGCCTGCTCCAGGCCCTGGGATGTATTGAAAAGGCTTCTCTGAATGTGGCAGGCAGCCCCAACACAAAGCGCCTGCAAACAGTTTATTTTTACAAAGGAAACCATAGCTTACATGGAGTTAAATGTTTTCCTGTAAAACACATGGGCATCAGGATAAATAGTTTTACCATTTACAGGCAATAGTCGGTGGTACGTAGCAGCCACCCTGCTCGGGTTCAACGGGCGGGTCAGAGGGATTTGTACTCCCTGACAGAGGGAGGTGTTTGCCTGTTGGTTTTGGATCAGGAGCGTTCCGTGTGTTCCAGCTGCACTCTTGAGCTGTGGCTGCTGGTTCTGCAGCTTTGGCATCCCCAGCCCGGGGGAAGCAGCCCCAGGCAGAGCCCCTGGCTGAGGGAACACCGCAGCCCCAGCAGCTGCAGTCGGTGCCACAGCACCCTCAGAACATCCACGAGTGTTTCAGTGGCTGAAAATTCTGTCAGTCATTAATAATTGTTCCATAGTGATGGGGTGGTGCGTGTCATGCAGGGCGGCTGGGATGTGCAGTGCTCACTGGAGTCTCTGTTGGCCACAAGGAGATTTTTCTTTTGTCTTTAGCAGGTAACCTGGTAAATTATAGAGGGCTGTAGGTCTGACCACGAATAGCCACTTCAGATTACAGAATCACAGACTCAGTGAGTAAAGGAGCTTGCAGTCTCAGAAGGGAATCCCAAGAAAGCTTTTCTGTTATTAAATATGCAATCAGGGTGTTTTCTGGAAGGAGATTATTATCACAGAGCAAAAATTGCAGTTGTATTCCTAGCATATAGTGTGGGATGTTAGAAGCAGGGTGTGCTGTGCTTCCCACAAAACTGGTGTTGTGGGGCAGAGCCTGGTGGTGACCACACAGAATGGGTACACTCCTGTTCACCTGTGTGCAGCTCTGAAAACCCAGGTGTACTGTCATGATCCAACACACCTGTCGGAGGATTAAGGTCTTGTAGGAATACCCTGGATTTTCTGAATGTAGAGTTCTGGGAGTGATTTTTCCAAGGCATGATTGGTCATTTTCTTTTGTCTGAGTTTGCCACAGTTCTGTAAGTGTTCACCCAAAGTGCCTTGTGCTTTATGGGGAGTAGAGCTCCCAAAAAGTGTAGCTGGGGATGCTTCTGCTCTGTGGGAAGGTGGCTGGGGACAGGTACAAGTTCCTGCTCCCCTGAATGGAAGGTGAAAAATCCTCCCAATCCCAGCTCCTGATCAGCAGACCGTGCTGAGCCCTGTGCTGCACCCGAGAGGTGTCACAGGAGGCTGAACACAGCAAGGTCAGGCACATCCTGCTCCCATCCGGAGTGGATGGCATTTCTTCATTTTTGACAGTGAAAGTGAACTATACAGAGTAGGAATAGATAAATCTATGTATCAAACACCAAAAAAAGAAATGGAGAGGCAGCATGAGATTAAAAGACTACTGCTGCAAGGAGAGCAAAGCAAATGTGTGCTTGCAGCCATGACTGAATAAGAGTGAGGAGGTTGTGGCAGCTGCTGCAGGCACGGTGCTGTCCTGGCCGGAGGGGCTGGGCTGAGCTCAGCAGGCACTGCCTGACACTGCTGAGCCCAGGGCTGGGCAGGGCACCCCGTGAGAGTGGCTGGGACTAGGAGATAAATCTATGTATCAAACACCAAAAAAAGAAATGGAGAGGCAGCATGAGATTAAAAGACTACTGCTGCAAGGAGAGCAAAGCAAATGTGTGCTTGCAGCCATGACTGAATAAGAGTGAGGAGGTTGTGGCAGCTGCTGCAGGCACGGTGCTGTCCTGGCCGGAGGGGCTGGGCTGAGCTCAGCAGGCACTGCCTGACACTGCTGAGCCCAGGGATGGGCAGGGCACCCGTGAGAGTGGCTGGGACTCCGAGGGACCCAGCTGGCCCTCTGCCCCTCACCCCACTGGCACTGAGGGCCTCTGCTGAGGAGCATTTGTGCTGAGATTTAGTCCAGCAGGATTGGGTTAATCCCCCGCTGGACACTGCAGCATCCCCTGCCACCTCTGAATTTCCTTACTTATAGTATTCCTTTTGTAATGATTGGAAGGGAGTTCAGAGAAGGTTCAGAGAGATGAAAATCTGCCTTGACCTCTGTTAGCAGGATCCAGTGGCAGGGTAATTGGGAAGTGCTCGCTGCAGGGTCAGGGGATGAATGCTGCCCCAGTTCTGTGCCACTGGCTTCCCGCCTGCGCCTTCCGGCTCCTGGGCACTCTGGACCATTTGTAAAGGTCCATGGAATAAAAGTGAGACAAGAAACCCTACTCCCAGACAGACAAGTCTGCATTTCTTCTGGGAAATTCGCTAAGATCTGTAAATTAAAAGAGATTGAGGGTTAAAGGTGCCCTGAGCTCCAGAGCTCCATGCAAACAAGGAGGATGTAAGTGTTTTGATAGTAGCTGGTGATAGCAAAGCATAAGCACAATTTACCTGGGGCTGTGGTATATTCTGGTAGTCTTTAACTCTCAGTAAATAGCTTTCCTTAAAGACCATGCCTTAGGTGGATAGAAATGCTGTTCTCAGTGGAGAAGTGGAGAGGCTCCTTGTTTCCTGGGAGCCAGAGGACATTGCATTAGATCACAGGAATGATTTTTATGGCTTTAAAGCATTTGAGGGTATGAAGTACATTAAGTGGTTGGGGTGTACAACACGTACTGCCGGGCTTTGGATGTCATCCAGAGAGTTGTGGAACTGCCTAAACCCCAGCACTGAAATGAGGACATGGAGTTTAGTCTGGATTTCAGAATCAGGTTGGTTAACGGCTCCTCTGATTCCAGTGACACGTGTTGTAGTTCCATGTTACCCATTTAGCAGTAATTGGCTCTGACTTTTACATTGTGCTCATGTAAGGTCTCATTTTCCAGTATCTGGTAAGTGTATCTGCTTGTGTTTGCTTTAGCCCATGACATGAGGAACAAAGATGCAGCTTCTAATCCTACTGTGCCCATTCTCTTCTTCAGGGTCGATGTTCAAGGGAAAACTGCAAATATCTTCACCCACCACCACACTTAAAAACGCAGCTGGAGATCAATGGCCGCAATAACCTGATCCAGCAGAAGAACATGGCCATGCTGGCCCAGCAGATGCAGCTGGCCAATGCCATGATGCCCGGAGCCCCGCTGCAGCCCGTGGTACGTGCAGGGTCCCTCAGGAGCTGGGGCTGAGTGAGGCAGCACAGCCTTCCACACCAGGGGAATCCCACAAAGGCTGGGAGTGGGAGAGGAGTCAACAGCACTGACATGCCCCTCCCGATGTCTTTGTGTTGCTTAACTCTACCTTACCTGAAGTAATAGTTTTAATTATTTCAGTAATCTTGGGTTAATTTGTCTTTCACAGCTTTATTGTCAGAGTTTGCAAAGTGAGTTTGCATTAGATTTTCGTTTCCTTTGCAGTATTATGTGCTCTAGGAAACGCCTGGCTTTGAGAAGATCCTCTGGGTGTTTTCTCTTCACTCAAGGGAACTTCTTGCTGGAATTGAGCTTTAGTTCAGGGGAGTTAGGCTCAGCTTGACCATGGCTAGTGCATCAGTCAGTATGAGCCCATGCAGCAGCAGAGAGCTGGGGTGGCTCTGTGCCCTGGCCCAGCAGTGGCCGTGTGCCCCTGGGGCTGTAGGACAGGGGTGTCCCCACTTAGACTGTGCAGCACATCACGATGGCCCTGCGAGCTTCAGAGCCATGCCAGCTGGCTCTGATAACGTGCTGCTATTCTGCAGTGGTCAAAAGGCTGCAGGATATTTATATTGCTAGAAAATAAGCTCGGTAGAAAATAAATGGGGTAGTCTTATTTGCTGTACAGCAGGCACACAGGTGTCTGTTTGAGTGTATTGGGCTGAAATTAAACACCAACATCTCTTAAGTTACACACTAACAGACTGGTTCTATTTTGAAGTTCATGATTACATAGCTGATAACCCAGTAATGAAAAATGCAGTTAATTAATAGTGTATTTAAGAGTAATATTTAATTTCCTGTAATATTTGCCAGGTTGTTTTTCATTCACATAGATGAAGAATCATAAACATTACAGAAATTATACCCATTTAATCAACTCTCATTCTGTTTCTCCAGTAATCCCTGCATGTTTTTGTTCATTATTTCCAATGTTTCTTGCTTCCAAACAATTCAGTCATTTCCTCAGGAATACAGAAACATGTGCTGTTCTCTGCTGTCTGCCTTAAATTGATATGAAACAGAGAAAGAGTTGTTAAGAGTTAAATCTGTAGTTGTTTTTCCCTCTAAAAATTAGTTGGGGAAAAGAACCTAAATGCCTTGAGTAACTGCCTTATTTAGATAGTGAAAGACAAACACTCCTGGCTGAATATTATTTGGCAGTTACACTGCATTTGGGGCCAGGAGAGTTATTTAATCCTTGCCGCAGTGTAGCAGCTCTGTGTTGGGTTTTCACAGCATTATTTGGGCTCTGCACCCAATTATCTTCACACCCACAAGGGCACTTGACTTTTTTTTGAAAACGTGCAAACAAACAAAATAAAATCATATTTGCATGTGCTCTTTCTTCCCCTGGTTTGATGTTTTAGCCTAATGCTAATGTTTTAGCATCTCCCTGATGCAGTGAGTGTCTGATTATCTGCATGGCCAGCCTGTTGAATTCTGTAAAACAGGAGGATTGTGGCTGTGAAACCTCAGGAGTTCCTGAACCAGCTCTAGCTGCAGCAGGGCCAGAAGAGCTTTGCCTGTGCCTGAAGTCGAGTGTGGTCGATGCTCTGTCAGGGCTCTCAGATGCCTTTTCCCCAAGAGCCAGCGTTGTACCTGCTGTGGCCATGTCCCCCTGGTAGCCCAGACTCTCTGTGACCCACAGAGCGTCTGTCATTCATTGTGGCATTGCTGGAGTGTGGATCACTGTGAGTTTGCTCCAGGAGCTGCCACGTGCTGTGAGTGCAGGGAAGCTGGAGGAGGAGAACCAGCAGAGGCTGGTGGGGACATCTGTCCTGTGCTCTTGCAGCAACTGCACAGGTGTTCCCCGTGACCCACAAACACAACAAGTGCTCCTTTCCAGTTAGCAGAAACTCACCTGTTCAGCTCCAGGGGATGCCCAGAGAGTTGTGCTGGTGGCAGCATGGCAAGCTGCTGCACAACAAATGCTAAGTGTCTCTTTCCCCGTGTCCCCTTGCAGCCAATGTTTTCCGTCGCGCCGAGCTTAGCCACCAACGCGTCAGCCGCCTTCAACCCCTACCTGGGGCCCGTCTCTCCCGGCCTGGTGCCCGCCGAGATCCTGCCCACGGCCCCCATGCTGGTGACAGGAAACCCCGGCGTGCCCGTTCCTGCCGCCGCCGCCGCCGCTGCCCAGAAGCTGATGAGGACAGACAGGCTGGAGGTAGGAGCTGCGTGGTGTAGCTTACTCTCACAAGTGCTGTCATTTAGTATGTCTTCTAGGTAGGAAATACTTTCCTTGTGAAAGCAAATAATGCAGGTTTCACTTGGGCCGGTACTGTGGTATCTTTGTGACGGTAAGAACGAGCAGTGACTGAGTGTACAGTAAGTTCAGGCTGCCACTCTGCCTCTGACCCTCCCTTGTAGAAGGAAATGGGAATATTTAGGGATGATCACGGCAGCAGCAAGGGTGCCACGAAGCCGTTGGTGTGTGCCCAGAAGGCGTTAGCTTGGTGGGGGCACAGCCCCTGGGCACTAGGGAGGTGCAGAGCTGCAGCTGCTGGTGCAGATGACTCGGCCTCTCTGGCTCTGGCAGAGGGTGCCCACGCTCCCCTGCTGGCCTCCCGCACCTGGCTTATCACCCTCGCTACAACCCCGACAAGTGTCGGTGCTCTCGAGCTGCTGCTCTCCCTTGCTCCCAATCTTTCTTATCTGAAAGGCCTGACAGTGTTTTCGGCACCTTATCGGTGCTGCGGCAGCGTGGGCGGGGAGCCAGGGACGTGCTGCTGGCTGCCAGAGCTTGGGGCACAGCCCGTGGGCACAGCCTGAGAGCACAGCCTGGGAGCACAGCCTGAGAGCACGATCACAGCCTGAGAGCACAGCCTGAGAGCAGGAGCACAGCCTGAGAGCACAGCCTGAGAGCAGGAGCACAGCCTGAGAGCACAGCCTGAGAGCAGGATCACAGCCTGAGAGCACAGCCTGGGAGCATGGAGTGCAGCCTGAGAGCACAGCCTGATAGTGTGGATCACAGCCTGAGAGCATGGAACACAGCCTGAGAACATAGAGCTCAGCCTGTGGGCACTGCCTGAGAGCAGTTGCTTGGCAGCCCTGGCTGGCTCTGTGGTTAAAAGGCAGTGATGGGGAGGCTGAGCAGCCAGGCTGCCCTGCTGTCACCCTGGTGTGTGCTGGACATGGCAGGGGTGAGGGCTCAAGGCTGCTGTCTCCTGCACGGCTGCTGCTGGTCTCCCTTCTGGCAGTGGGGCTGCTCATTGAGCTCAGGGAGCACGCTGGGAGGAGCAAGAAGGATCTCTGTTTTATGCAGCCTGCTGTATTTGTAACTGTTATTTCTGCCTGTGCATCTGCACGAACAGGGATTGACTCTCCTTCCAAGGGAAATTAATTCCTTTTCCTTAGCTGCATCCCTGACTGACGAGCTGCTGCTCAGAAGGGGCGAGCTGGGAGCAGTGTGGTCATCTGGCAGCCAGCATTTCCCGCTGCTGCTGTCACTATTCTCAGAGCTCACATCACCACAGGTCACCCTCCTGTGGGATCACATCATTTCCCTTTTTAGAGATGTTTTCCCCGAGGGAAGCGTTCCCCAAAGCGCGCTCAGGTTGCAGGGGAGGCAGCCATGCTGAGCTCTGAGCTGGCACACAGGCGGCTGGTTGGAATCACCCAGGGATGGTTTTCCCTTGAGGACTCTGTTTCATGATGGACACCTGCCAGAGGCGGATTAAAACCAAAATGCAATTAGGTAAATTCATAAATAAATCGTAATGGATTTGGAAATGAGCATGGAGAGGAGGATGCCTATGGTGGGAACCCTTTGGGCTGTGCTGCCAAGATCAGCTGCTGTGCTTGATCATGCTTCCAGCCCTGCAGTGCCCACGGATGGTCAGCGCGGGACATGAGGGCTCAAAAGCATCCTGCTCATAAGCAGGATGTACCCACTCTCCCCAGGCACCCTGGAAAGCAGGGGCACTCCTTTGTGTGCCCCTCCAGGGCAGCCCTGGTGCTGGCCACAGGCTGTGACCGCTGTGCACAGGGAGCTGATGTCATCTGGGACCTCAGCATGCAGGATTTGGCCCTCTGGACACTGCATTCTCTTGATATTGCTGTTCAGAGAAGTGCTGCACTGCTGAGCCAGACTCCTCTGCATGACAGGGAGATGCTAGAACAGCACTCTCAGTGTCACAATACTGTTTTTCCCTTCTGCAAATTCAGTTTAAACAGTGAAACATGTAGGTGAGAACATAGTTTGCAAATGCTTTCCAGTACAGTGGTGATCTGATCTGGAGTATCCAAATTTAATATCCAAACACTAAACAAGCATGTAATTTTTATGAACACAAAATATTTGAATGTACTTATAGGCTACAGAAATGCAGAATGGATTTTGGAGATTCTGCATGACCTGGCTGTTACCTCCCAGAGGAGCCAGCAGTGTCTACCTGCTCTTCCAGGGAGCTGCAGCTGTGGCATTGCCATTTGTTGTGGCATGATCAGAGCTTTATAAGGCTCCACTCACTCTCTCTGGGAATGAACTGTCCTGGAGAAAAATAACCACAATGATGTTAGCATCTAATCTTGGAGTATGATTGGTTCTGCTTAGAATTTTAAATATTTATTTTCAAGGGTGATATACACTGGCAGGAATTAAGTCCGCACACGTTCTGGCATACAGACCCAGCCTGTTCCCAGGCTGAAAGCTCTCAGTAAGCACACCTGGGGTTTTCAGGGATGCAGGCAGACCCCACAGCACTGTCTCCTGAATTAATGTGAGTCTTGGTAAAGTGAGGTCGGTGGCTGCTCCTAGCAGTGGGATTGCTTTCATCTGGATTTCATACTGACAGCATGCAGGTCTTGGGTGTCCAGAGCTTTCAGCCGCTCCTGTAAGGAATCTGCATCTCAGGATGGAAATGTCATGGCTTCAGGCTTTTCCACAGCTTTCCTCACACTCCTCCCCTGCAGGAAATATCTTGAACAAAGTGTAATTCTTCAGTGAACTAGAAAAAAAAAGAAAGAAGGACAGGGGTGAGAGAAAAAGGAATTGCCTAACACTTTATCAAAAACAGCTGTTTCTGTTGGAATGCCATCATTTTCTATTAGAAGTGTTCCAAAGTCAGGAATGACCACAGCCAAGCTGCTGTTTTCTGCTTGGTCCTTACGTGCCATGTTTTGCCAGAAAGAAGCAACTTAGAAGTTCTTGGAGCTGGTCAGCTCTGGGTGATCAGCACTGTTGTGCTGGCTGGCATGTGTCACTGCAGGGGACTGGACCAGGGAAGGGATCTGGCTGCAGGGTTACCTGGCAGGCCAGTGGTTTTTTCCAGCCCAGGAGTTTGCCTGAGCTGTTTCTGGCGTGCTGCGGAATCTGTTCTGTGAGCCCTGAGCAAGAGGGCACAGGATGAGCAGGGGCTGTGGAGGGGCAGGGCCTGGCTCACGTGGCTCAGGTGCCAACACACACCTGGAGCCTGTCACCACGTGAAAAAAGTCTATGAACAGGCTTGTGCAGGAATGGCCCTGGACAAATGTGGGGTTTTCACACCCGACCTGGTCCTGGTCCTGCTGGGGGTCAGTTCATACCCATGGAGGATGGGCAGGTGGCACTGGCAGTGGCACGAGCGTTAAACAGCAGCCAGAGGACTGGTGTGAAGGGAAACACCACCAAATCTGGCTTGTTGCAGGGATCAGAGCCAAGGTCCTTGAGGAAATACTTATGATCCAAGCTCACAGGCACTCACCTTGAACAGGAAATTCCATCTAATAAGGGGTTTTATTTTTAGGCAGACCTGAGTTTGTCCCTTTGTTTCCTATGGCCTTTGGAAAACTGGAGTGCAAAGTGTGTTTTGTTGGCAGGTTGGGGAGAACTGTGACAGGATCCCATGTCAGTCTGTCAGACATAGAGTTGGCATGTCTGCAGAGGGGGCCGGTGTGTGTCACACTGGTGACACAGTCCGTGTCTGCAGTGCTTGGGCTCGGGACTGGCTGGAGCCCATGGAGCCCACGGGGACACTGCAGGGGCTGTCACCCAAGCAGCTGCAGTGTCTGAGCCCTCCAGCTCCATCTGGCTGCTGATGTGTGACAGCGAGAGCAGTGGCTGTTGCTGTTCCCCACCTCGTCAGGGTGATGGCTGGGCAGCACAGGGGCCGTGCCACCACCGTGGGCTTGGGCTGGTGTCTCCTGGCGGATGCCTGGATCATGGGGACACATGGACACAGAGTGCCCACCCGGTGGGGCTCCCTGGGGGTGGCCGCACACTGTCCACTCACCTTAATGAGCACATCGAGCACAGCCAGGCCGCAGCAGCGCATGGCCGAGCGCCTTGGGGTGCTTGGGTGGTGCCCAAGAGCAGCCACGGCACACTTCAGGAGACAGAAACAGCCCCTGGGCAGCTCAGGGGGAGCCAGAATGACACCTGCTGTGTGCTTGGCTCTGATCACGGTGGGGTTTCATGCTCCTTGACATCAGAAGTGGCTCTGGAGAAGCCAGTCTCTGCTGCCAGGTCCCTGAGCCCTCCATCCCACTGCAGTGCTCCTCCTGGGCCAGGATCCTTCCTCGCAGTGCTCTCGCAGGCTTTCAGAAAGCTTGTCTCTGCCCCAAGCCTTGCCTGCAACACCCAGCACCAAAAGTAAGTGGCTTTCTTTTCCTGGTGTCACAGGTATGTCGAGAGTACCAGCGTGGGAACTGCAACAGGGGAGAGAACGACTGCCGGTTCGCTCACCCCGCCGACAGCGCCATGATCGACACCAACGACAACACGGTCACCGTCTGCATGGATTACATCAAGGGGAGGTGCTCCCGGGAAAAGTGCAAATATTTTCACCCTCCTGCACACCTGCAAGCCAAGATCAAGGCTGCCCAGTACCAGGTTAACCAAGCTGCAGCTGCCCAAGCAGCAGCGACTGCAGCTGCCATGGTGAGTGTGGGAGCACTTGTGGACGCAGACGTAGACTGAGGAGAGGCAGTGGTGGATGTGTGTTTGTCCTTGCTGAGGAGGGTGCGTGTGCCTGGGGACCCCGGTCACTACACGGTGCAATGAGCTTTCTCAGCATGTGGTGCCAGATCTGCTGTGAAGTAGTTCCTGACCGTTGAGGTGTTTGACTAATTTTGCCTGCTGATGTCCGGAGTACCGTGTGTACCTCTGTGCGTGCATACGTGTGTGCGTGTCTGTTCGTGTGGGCTACTCGTGTCTCTGGTTGGCTGTACCTCTGTGTGTGGGCAGGTGTGTGTCTGTCCAGCTGCACAGCTAGATAAATCCATGTTTAGTTCCTGTAAGTCCGTGTTTGCAGAGGTGTAGTTTGAAGTGGATTGACCATGTCCTGCTGTCCCCGTCCCGTGTCCCCGAGGGCTGGCGGTGGCTGTCCCGGGCGCTAGCGCAGGCCCGTAGCGGTAGCAGCCAGACCTGGGCCCCGTGAGGAGCTGGTGTGCTGGCGAGGCGAGGGCAGCACCGGGGGGCTGTGGTGGCAGAGGGTCCCGCCTGTGCTGAGCCCGTGGGTGTGGGAAGCGGAGCACAGCGGGGGCGGCAGGGCCGGCGGGGCGAGGCGGTGGCCGCGGGTCCGGCGTGCGTGGCCGTGGCCCCACGGCCGGCCCGGCGTGGCGGCCGTGGGCACCCCCTGCTGCCCCGCTGCCCTGCCCGCGGGCCCGTGCATGCCTAGTCTTGTTACCGTTGTACACGGCATCCGGTGATTTGTTTTTATTTGTTTTTTCTCACCTCCCCAAATGCACTGCTGCCCCCATGACGCACCTCTGCTTGCTGTTTATGTTAATGCGCTTGACCCCACTGGCCATTGCCATCATGTGCTCGCTGCCTGCTAATTAAGACTCAGTCGGCTGTCAAATCACTGAAGCGACCCCTCGAGGCAACCTTTGACCTGGTACTATGACCTTTCACCTTTTAGCTTGGCATGTAGCTGTATCGTAGAGTGGAGTTTGGGGTTAATGTGTAGAAATGGACCATCCCGGTTTCCCTCCCCGCGTCCCCGGCGAAGGGCGTGCGGGCGGCCGGCCAGGCTGGGTGCCCTCGCTGCAGCCCCCGCCGCCCCGCGCCCCGCCGGCCCCCTCCCGTCCCCTCCCGTGTCCCCATCCCTGTCCCCTCCCGGGGGCCGGCGCAGGGGCGTTGGCATGGCTTGGCGGCGCGGAGGCGGCCGGGGCCGGCATGGGCGCGCTCTGCATGCCCGGGCAGCGCTGGGGCCCGGGGACTGGGGTGTCACCACGGCCCTGCCATCCGCTCCAGACGGTGACTATTAACATGGCTTCTACGTGTGATCCTCGTGGAGCTAGCAGTGCTGCTTCCCCGAGAGCCTGGCTCCTGGCCCGCCCGAAGCTTTCCCTGGCGTGGCACTGATGCCGGTGCCCACAGCGGCTGTCCCGCCGGTCCCTGTGCCGCCGTAGTGGTAGGCAAATAGTGCTCCCTGGAAAGCTGTTCCCTCGCCTTTTATTTGGTAGTTCAGTCTGCTATGCCGCTTGCTTGCTCATGGAGAAACATGGTGCTGCCTGGTTATTTTGCCTTCTACTGATTTTTCTTTTTTCCTTTTTCTCTCTCCTTTTCTCCTCCCTTTTCCCCTCCCTCCCTCCTTCCCTCCCATCCTCCTCCACACCCCACCCATTCTCTCCCTTTTTTTTTTCTTTTTTGTTACCGGACTTTATTTTTATACCCATCCACCATTCAGGGAATTCCTCAAGCTGTACTTCCCCCCTTACCAAAGAGGCCTGCGCTTGAAAAAACCAATGGTGCCACCGCAGTCTTTAACACTGGTATCTTCCAATACCAGCAAGCTCTTGCCAACATGCAGTTACAGCAGCATACAGCCTTTCTCCCACCAGGTAAGTGCATCACTGGCGCCTTTTCAGGGGCGGGAGCAGGGGGATTTCTGGGAAGAGCACCCCAGGAGGCAGCTGTGGGTTGCTGGTGCAAACGCGGTGTGTGCTGGAGGCCAGGCACAGGCAGCCCCTCCAGCCTGGGCACAGCAGTGCCCGTGCCCTGGGCAGAGGAGGGGCTGCCTGTGGCAACGCTGGCTTCTCTCTGCTCCTCGCAGAAGCTGGGCGGGTGTTTTCCAGTCTAACACAAAATCAGCATCATGCTCTGTCACCCCAAATCAGAATTTGAAATCTCCTCTCTCCTTCCTCTTTCCCTGGATTAACTGCTCTTCCTTCCACATCCCTCAGCTGTTGTGCTTGTTTCCCTGTAAGACCCCTTGGCCTTGGCAGTGGTGGCTCTGAGTCACACACACAAAGGGGTTTTTTAATGAGGATTTAATGGGGTGCAGTGATCCCAGGTGGCACGGGCAGTCTCACAGGTGGAGAATCACAAACCTGCACAAGAAGTCACAGTTTGGGCCTCCACACTGATGTCTCAGGGCTGGTCTTGGACTGAATAAAGCCAAGTGCTTGTTCTCAGACAAGAGTCCTGGTGTAGCTGGTGAAGAGTTGATGCCTGTACCATGGACCAAGCAGAAATCCTTTTGGAGGACTAGTGATGGGACATAAAGTTGGAATATGTGCTTTGGTTCTGCTGATGGCACTGCATGAGAATGATCTCCAGAATGTCCTGGGAGCTTCTGCCCTTAGTTACACAGCTGAGGTAGTTTGTTACACCTGAACCCACACTAAAGCAGCACCATCATTCCAGGAGATGTGCAGAGCTGATAGATCTGTGCTCAAAAATGGGAAAGAGTCTGTGAGGATAGCCCTTCAAAACGCAGACTGGGAAGGGGAAGAAATACAGCTAATCAGTTTCTACCCAAAAATGTAAAGGATTTTATCCTAAATATCTTTGGCAAGTATGTTCCCAGGAGATCAGTACAGTGCCCTTTACTATCCTGTCTTGATCTGGCATGCAGCCAACATGTGTACTTTAAATGGCACAAAAATAAGCTTCTTGATCTAGTGCATTTTAATAATGCAAAAATGCATTGCAGCCACTGAAAGGTATCAGTAAATGTTGCAAAGCTTGCTGGAGTCAATAGCAGGATGGGTTGGGTAAGCTGCAGGTCAGATCCCTAGCCCACATATTAAAATCCATATAAAAATGTGTATGCAGTCATAGACTCATGGAACCACAGAATGGTTTGGGTTGGGAAGGACCTTAAAGACCACCTCATTGCAAACCCTCTGCCATGGGGGGACACCTTCCAATAGACCAGGCTGCTCAGAGCCCCATCCAGATAGACTCAGAATCCTTCCTAAGAATGTTAAACAATTCACAGATCTCTTTTGGCACAGTATAACCAGTGGAGTCTGTAAACATCAATTTTCCAGCTTCCATGAACGCAGCAAGGGGCTGGATGGTTTCTGGAAGCGCTGGAGCTGCCTTTGTACCTCCCCTTCGAACTCAGGGGCTGGGGTTGTGGTTTGTGTGTGCCAGACCCCATTTGCACCTCATCATGGACTGGGGCCTTTCCCATTGGCTCTTGACACACCTTACCTCAGCTCTTCCTCCAGCAGATCCACACTGAAACCTCCAGGAGCTTGGCAGTGGTTCTTGAGGCTTCATTAGACCTCTCCTGACCGCTGAAGTTTAGTGTATGTTACACAAGAAAAGTAAGGGAGTTTTTAGCCTGAGCTATTATGAATTCTCTCTTTATATTTTTCAGATAGCTGCAGTTTGAGCTTTCCAGTAGTCCAGTACATTCCAAAAAGTTTGAAAAATGCCTTTGGCACCTTGCCCTATTCAGTTTGTCCCGCTTCAAGTGAGGCAGGATCAGTTCCTGTTTGGGCACAGGCACCTGGACACAGAGTTTCTCCATCTGTCCCTGCGAAGCCGCGGAGAGCACAGAGCGTGGGTGCCCCCAGCTCCACGGCCACGGAGCAGGGCCAGGGCAGCTCAGTGGGATCTGAATTAAAGTGACATTTTTCAGGTTCAGACACCCAAGGTGTAAGTGCTCATTTGTGTTCCTGGTTGCTCCAGGCAGAGTGTGCAGGAGGGCTGGAGGGCAGGACACCTGCAGAACCTGCACAGGGTGGGTGTGCCTAGGGTTGGTCCCCTGTGGGCAATCTGGGCAGGACCCTCCTCTCTGCAGGGCACTTCACTCCTCATGTTCTACCACTGATACTCCAGAAAACCTCAGATAACCTCCTCTGAATTGTGAGGCATTGTTCTGGCTGGCTGTGTGCCAGGGATGTGAAGCACATCCAGGGAACATCCATGCCTGGGAGTGGACACTGCACTCCAGCACGCCTTAAGTGATTAAATGTTCTTCAGACATTCATATCACCAGTCTCAACTGAAGCTCCCTCTGTGCACGGCTCCCCTCTTGAGGTGTCCCCAAAACCGTGGCTGCTGGAAGCTGTCCCCAGACTGAGAGGAGAGTTTAGGGGTGTTGCAAGCAAGAGCCAGGAACATTTGTGCTGTTGAGATAAGGGCAGTTATTCTGCTGAGTCAGGAGCTCTGCATGCCTGGGTTTGGTGCCTGGGTCCTGCTGCCAGCTGGGGACACCTCAGCAGACGTGGGTGACGCTCCTGCTGTGAGCGTGCAGAGCTCCAGGTCCTCAGGCCTTCCCCTGCCCCGTGTCCTGCAGCGCCTGGGGCTGGCTGCATGCTCCTGGGGGCAGCTGAGGGACGCCCTGCCCGTGCCTGGGACTGTCCTGTGCCTCAGCTCCCTGTCTCCTCAGGAGTGCGAGTGCAGCTGCTGTGCCCCAGGTGTGTCCCCCAGGTGACCAGACTGGCCTTGAGAGGTGACATCCTCCAGAGCAAGGGGTCGGGTTGGCAGGGTGCTCCCAGGAGCTGACATCGTGCTGCAGCTGCAAGGGGCAGGACTGCAGCTGACCCCCAGAGCCAGTGAGGAAGGGCTGCAGCTGCCTCTGCATCGTGTTAACCCGTTGTGTATTTTTTCAATTACTGCAGCTTCAGCACCAGAGACTCCCTTGTTCCTGGCTGGGACTCAGTGCCCAGAGGCTTTCCTAAAGCACTTTCCTCCCCGGGGCTGCTGGGCCTGTGCAAAACCACTGCTTTCCCCCAAAACATTGGGGAGGGGAAGGTCACACACCACTGCTCACCTCCACAGGAGTCCTTGTGCTGTGTGGAGTGTTGTTTTTAAATAGGCATTAAAGACTGGGCAGAAGAAATAGACTGAGGGGAATAATACAAGGGAGAAAATAGAAAAACTAATTAAAACAAATAAACCTAGAATATTTATCAAAATAGCTTTATTGTGCTGCAGAAATTATGAAGTTATGGTCAGTTAAGTCAGAACATCCGCAAATTAAAATTCTGCCTTGTGTTGAACAGCCAGGCAACATTGAAAGTGAACATTTGTTATTCATGTGTTCTCACTAGTCAGTCAAAGCTTCTGAAGTCAAGCTGAATATTAGGATCATAGCAAAAATTATTTTTATTACTGGTAAGAGGGTCATAAAGCTTAATATCTGTGTTTGGGAGTTATGCCACCCCAGCAAGCATTCTTTCTGCCTCATGTTCATTTGCTTTAATTCCCTTTCAAAAACTGTATGCACTGGTCATAATGTTAATGATGATCATTCAGGCTGAAATTTGGAGCTTTTCTCTGAAAAGTGTTACAGGGATGTTTCAGAGTGGTTATGATACCCAGCTCATGTGCAGCAGGTAGATACACCTGTGCATGGAGGCATGGACCACTGCAGGGTGCCCAGCCCTGTGCACGGGGCACTGCTGCAGAGCCACAGCTCAGAGCTTCTCTGAAAGCCCACTGACCCCACTGAGAGCCCACCACAGGGACCAAGAGAGCAGTTCTGCTTACTGTTTGTACTTTTTAGCCAAATTCTGCACCATTTTTCAGTCTTGCAAGTGATCCCCTTGGCTTCAGCCGTGCTTTGTGCCAGGGGAGGGCAGGGGAGGCACCCTTCCTTTACCCTGTCTGTGCCAGTGTTCTCAGTCTCTCCAATGATGCAGAGGAGTAATTAGGAAACATGATGATGTCCTTGCCTTTGTTGCCTTACAGGTGCAGCAGTGACAGAGGATAACTGTGGCCCCAGCAGTAATTAAACTGGCCTTTTTCCCTGCACAGTTAACTGCTCCTGAGGCTGTGCATCCCCTCCCACGCTTGGCACAGCTGGAGCCATTGCCTGTCCCCAGTACAGCCACAGGATGTCACTGAGGCAGCCCTGCCTGGCTGCCTCTGGCAGTCTGCTAGGATATCTCATTCCTAGATTTCAGAGTTTATTTCTGTTTCAGCTGTGTCACTCATCATTAACAGTGTTAATAAATGTTATTTGTTACATTAAAAAGTAAATAATTTATTAAAAATGGATATTCTGGAAGATCAGTATATGTTTATCATCTTGGAAGCAGAAATAGAAGATTGTGAGATCAGTCTGGTGAAAGGCATTTTGCTGTGTAACTTAAAGAGAATTGCCAGCTGGGTGATACTTAAAAATGATGCCAGAATGATCCCAAAAACACCTTCCTGCTCCTGGTTCTGTTTGCAGGGCAGAGCTCTCCAGGTGTGTGGTCTGAAGGGAGCTGGGGCTGTGAGCCCCAGCTTGAAATGCATCCTACAGTGTAGAACAGGAGGCTGAACAGGGGCTGTGGGGTGTCTCTGGGAGCTGCACAGGGCACAGGGGTCATTCAGCCACGGCTCTGGGCCACGTGAGGAGCAGCCAGAGTGGGGACAGCGTGGGGACAGCGGGGTCACTGCCCCTTCTCTGCAGCTCCAGGGCTCGGGGCTGCAGCCAGAGTCCTGCCTGACAGGTCACCTGGAGCCTTGCATCCCTGGGCTCTGCAGCAGTCAGGAGGAGAGGAGAGGAGAGAGGAGAGAGGAGAGGCTCTGTCACCTCCCACTGTCCATCTGGACGGCTCCAGCAAGGACAGCAGGGCCTGGTCCCTGGTCCCTGCACTGGGGACCGCAGGCAGCAGGCAGGGTGACTTTGAAGCATCTCTTCTGATCTGAGAAGAGCAGGGAAAGGACCATGACCAGGCTTGTGTAAAAGGCAGAAAGGTCTCAGGAGCTGTGAGTTAGAGTGAGGAAGGCTTTCCTGGCCCTGCTCTGGGGCCAGCAGGGTCCCAGCACAGCCCCGGCCGCTGCCCTGTGCCCGAGGCCTCGTTCTGATGGATCACTGTGCTCTTGTGTGGTTGATTGTGCTGACAGTTACATGCCACTGTGCCCGTAATAACAATTTTTCTTCTTTGTTCAATGAAATTTCTAATTACACGTGTGATGGGTTGTTTTAATTCTTTTCCCTTTCCAAATCCACCTTCCTGTTGCAATGCATGATGAGCAGGCTCAATATTGTGCATGACACCCGCTACAAGTGTTGGTAGGTGCCAGCTTTGTTTCTTGATTATCTTAAACCTGTGGTGCAGCTCACAGACCCTCAAAATCCACTGCTAGATTTAACGTACAGCCCTCGTGCCAGTCCATCTCCCCGAGCCTCCTGCACTAACACCTGTCAATTAAATGGGATTGTTTTATTTAATTGACATGGACACGTAGATGTTAATTTTGTACAGCAGTTTTTAATTGCACATTGTTCCTTGGTGGATTTTGACTGGACTATGAGTTCCAGTGTTTAGAAACTATCTTGTGTTAACTAAAGACTGTATCTTACCATAGCCATGTAGCTGTATTCTGTCCTTCTACAAGATTAATTTCTGTTAGCAGTAAATATTTGGGTTGAATTTCTAAAAGACAAAAATTTGTAAATATAAGGGCGTTGAAAAAACTCTTGTTTTTCATATTGAAATGGTTAAGCTTGTTTGTGTCGATTTTCTTGATTTGATGGTAACGAGCATTTTCCCCTTTTTTTTCTCTTTCATCTCCCTCCCCTCCCTCCTGGAATGTTGTCCTGCTTTGCACTGTGGTTGCATGTCACGCGCTGGCAATGATGTCTCGGGCTTTTTGCTGTGGTAAACCATGCTCAATGACTCCCACGTGTCGCTCTGGTCCCATACTGCTACACTCTTCTGTATGTTTGCTTATTTGATTTTCCTTCCGAAAGTTCCCATGGTGCACGGTGCTACGCCAGCCACTGTGTCTGCAGCAACAACATCTGCCACAAGTGTTCCCTTCGCTGCAACAGCCACAGCCAACCAGGTTTGCTAATTTACAGCTTTGTTCCTTACAGACGACTCGAAATCGGTGCTTTAATGAGCATGGGGGTTTGGATCTGACCTCTTGTTGGCCTACACATTCTCTCAGAGAGCTGCAGCACAGCTTAATCAGCCCTTAGCTGTGCTCCAAAGGTGCTGCAGTTCTATTTCTGATGCTAAAAATAATTGACAATAGAGTTTCTGACTCAGTCTTGACATTTATGGGCCATGCTGCTTATTTCTGTTCTCAGGGATGCAAAGAGCAAGGGATAATACACAAACCCATGATTTATTTCCCTTTCTGTGGAGCCAGCAGCTCCTTTCAGGGCAGAACTCAGGGAAAGCTAGGGGAGTCTTTGTGCAGAGGGGTTGCAGATTCTTACAGTCTGAGTTTAGCAGTCCAAACATGTTCTGACTCTCCTCTTCCAAGTGTAAAACAAAACCCTGTGAGCATGGGCCACACAGAAACTTCCTTGAAGCCTTTGTTGCCGCCTGGTGATTCTCCTTGGAATGGCCCATTGCTTTGAACAGAGCTCAGATAAGAAAATGCCCATTAGAGTCTGGGTTTATTTCTCAAAAGCCACCCCAGTCACTGCCGTGTTTGGATGTATTTCAGGAATATGAGAGTAATGCTTTACCACGTAAGTGATTAGAAGTCCTGCCAGGAAAGCCAGAACCAGTGCTCTAAAGATGAGTCCCTGGGCCAGAGGAGTGGCTGGAGCTGCACCTGAGCACAGGACGCTGTCAGAAAAGCAGATTTCTATACAACATCTGGCTGAAAGTGCAACAATAAAAACGTTTTAAAGAGTCTCCTGTTCCTCTTCTAAAAGCCAATTATTTTTTGAGATTTACTGGGCAGTTAGTTGTCCATGCCAGGAAGCTGTCAGTTCTGGTCTGATGTGCAGGTCTTGCTTCCAGCTCAGTGGGATCACATGTGTGTCCCTCAGAAAAGAGAGCTCCAGGTTCTCCTCAGCGTTGTGCAGGTGTGCTCCTGTGCAGGTAAATGTCAGTGTTAAGGCAGGCTTACCTGAAGCACTCGGCTCCTGGCTCAGGACAGGTGGTTCCTCAGCACACCCAGAGCTGCAGAGTGAGCCCCAGGGCATCTGGCTTTGAGCCTTTGCACCTTTACCTGTTGAGCACTACCATTTTGTGCTGCCCCAGCTGTACATCCCTCGTTAACCTGTCTGCTTCCTCATCTCTCAAAAATACAATTCCCAAATGGCATCATTGCAGTGACACCTGGGCGTGCACATCCCAAGCCTCCAAAGGGACCTGGATATTGTAGAATGCCAGAAACAGCCCAGGTTAGTCTGCTCAGCAGCTAGCACCTTCTTCTCTTGAGAAGTGTTTGCTGAATGAACAGCTCACTCAGAGCTTTAAACTCGGCCTGAGAATTTGTGTTTTGAAAAGTTAGTTCATAGGTGGGGCTACCTCTGCATATGTGCCACCTCAGCAAGCAACCTCCTGTATGCCCAAAGTCTCTTAATATTGTAGCTTATTGCACCAGACAGTTACTTTCAGTGGGTCTCTGTATCCTGTGCATGTCCTGAGGGTTGTGAGAACAAGACAAGCCACAGAAAAAGTAATTTTTTTAAATCCCCTCTCTGTTAGTAACCAAGCACTTCTCAGGGAGATCCCAGGGAAAACCTTCTGCTGTAGAATCTGGTCATTTCATGCCTTTCCTCCCCAGAGCCTCATAACACACTTAGTGCAGTTCTGCAGCCAAACCTCCATATATACATATATACCCATATATGTATATACCATGTGAGCAATGCTGAAGGTATTTAATGCCACCCAATGCCGTGTGCCTGCATGCCAAAGGCTAAAGATGTGGCCCTTCATCTTCCCGGGCTGGTGTGGAAGGTCCTTGGTCTGGTCGACAGCACTGCCCCTGATGCTGCTCCAGTCGGGTGCCGCAGCCTGTCCTGCAGCAGCAGGAAAACATGGTATGAGAAGCTTCATTCTGCTCCAAGCCCGTTTCTGTGGAGTTGGCAATGCTGTGATGTGTGAGCTGCCAGGGGAGGAGAGGGCACACGGGTGGAAAACAGCAGCAGGACCTGCCAATGAGTTAGCTGAGAAGAAACCCCCCTTCTCTTTACTGGGCAGATTCACAGGGCAGCCCATCAGGAAAAAGGGTCTTTCCAAGTGCCACAGCCATTTGGGATGGTGCAAATCCACGTTGTGTCCTAGGCCCCAGCACAGTTCCCTGTGCCTGGGCACGTCTGCTCCCCTGGGCACTGCGGTGCCACCGTGACCCACGGCCGGGGCACAGTGTCACCTGTCAGTGGCACTGCTGGCAGTTGGCTCCATGGAATCCTGCTTTGTTCAGCGGGACACTGAGCGGTGGGCACTTGAGGGGAGCCACGTGCTCGGTGCTCTGTGTGCACGCTGGGGGGAGTTTCCCTGCCTGGGAGGCTTTGCTTGCCGGCTGCTCCGCGCAGTGCCGCAGCTGCTGCGCGAGGGGCACAGCTCTTCTCTCTCACCAGCCATGAAGATCAAGCTCAGGGCATCGTAGGCTTGGCATTCAAAACCCAGGACAGTGACAGCAGTGAACACTTCACAGAATCACACTGAAACGAGGCCACTGTAGAATTTACCATCTGAGACACTGAAAGCACAGAATTTTGTGTAGGCCAACAAAAAGGGCTATTTTCAATTACTGCACTGCATGACTTGTAGATGTTAACTTCTCCTATTTCCTGAACAATCAATAATACTTATTTATATTTGTCCAGTAGTACTTAACCCAGTGTTTTCCAGTTAAAAGTTGCTATTGTAGCACTTCAGTTGACTTTAACTTATAGTTACGATATAAAATCCACCGACTCACAGCTGATCCTCCCTTTCCCAAACTGATGTTCTGTAGCAAATGCTGTGCCTCCGGGTGGGCTCGTTGCACCTGTCACTCACTGTTTACATTTCTTACCTGTAGATACCCATAATATCTGCCGAACATCTGACTAGCCACAAGTATGTTACACAGATGTAGACATTTGGTCATCAAACAGTAAGTTCCCAATGTGTTGTTGCTGTATTTTTTCTTACTCTTATGTGTGCAGTTTGTTGCTGTAAGGGACAGAATGTTTTTATCTTCTTTCTAAGAAAACCAGTAAGCTCTGGGGGCAGAGGCTCTGACCTCCCTGAGGGGCCATTCCTGCCCGAGGGGAGATCCCACGGGTAGCGGTGGCCCCATCGTGTGTCAGTTTGTACATGCCCACCCAGCAAAATCAGGGTTCACAGAGCTTTATGTTCTGTCTGTGGTGGCCTCAGCACTGACCTGAGCTGAGGGCAGACTCGGGAAGATTATTCCATCAGGTTCTCTTCAAAAAGAATGGCTTTTGACTCTCAACATTTGGAACCCCGGCATTTTCCTGGGAAACTCATTTTTCTCCTGTTATTGTGGGATTCCCCTCCTGCAGCCATCCCATCCCAGGATGGCTCCTCTTTTGTGTTACTTTCCTCTCTTCTGTGCTCCATTTCTGCTCATTTTTATTGAATTCCTTGGCCATAATGGAATTATTTCTGAGGCTGAGGATTGACCCTTTGGCCACAGTGGGTTTGGAATCACGGCTGCTCCGTTCAGCTGAGCACAAACATTGTTCAGCTGCTGGGTGGGTGCAGGGAGGGCGGATGGCTCGGGCTGGGGTGGATGGAGTGCCCCAGGTGGGATGGGATGCTTCTGCTGCCAGGGGCTCCTGCAGGGACACGGCCCCCGTGCCACGTATGACACCGAGTCCTGGCTGTGCCGAGAACACGTTGTGCTCTTCCCTTCCCAGATGGTGTCGGCGGCGAAGAGGCCGGATTTGGGTGGGAAGAGGCCGAGCTCATTAGCCATAGTGTATGTAAATACTGTCCAGCAGCACTGGGAACCCCTCAGCAGTGACATCACACATTGCATGTTAACGAGACGAAGCGAGGCCGTGGGACTCCACTGCACACTGTTGCCTATCTACTTTGTACATTGAATTGATATTTGTGCTGAGGTGATCTTGTCCAGCCTGCAGCATCGCCCGCCTTTCCCGCGCGCTGCCGGCGGCTCCGGGGCTGCTCCCACAGCCAGGACTCCGCCCGGAAAGACCGACGATGCTGCAGCCAGAAACCTATTATGTATTGGTACGTCTGTAGACCAAGATATAATTTTTTAAAGTAAGTTTATTTCTTTCAAGGTTTACAAATAACAAAGGTGCACCTTGTATTTAAAATTGCCATTATAGACGAGAGCGTGCATGCACAGTAATTTTTGTTTAAGAGTAATATTTTTAATGTAATAGATTGTAAGAAATGAGAAGAGAGGAATCTGACAGAGATGAATGTGCCAAGCAAAACCACAACTGTGTATATTTTAAAGCACATCAATGGCTTTAAGTACCACGTTGTTAAGGATTCTCATGAAGTGCCATAGACTGTACATCCATCAGAGTATTATTTCCGCAGTGTTATTTTCAGAACCACGTTTTCACTGACTTGATGAGTACTGATCAGTCAAAGGGCACCATTCTGTTTCAAACCAAAGCTGTCTCAGAAATGGCCAATTGCTCCTCACAGCCAGTGGGCAGCAGCAGAGAGATGCTCCAGCTGTGCACAACCCTTATGGACAATATTATCTATAAACTCTCCCAAGGCGTTGTATGTCATATTTATGCATAGTTACTGTATAAGGTGATCTGCAAAGGGAAAAGCCATTTCTGAGACACAGTAACAAATGTTTGAGGAACTTCTTTTGCGCTATTTATAGCCTCTGTCGCGAGTCACAAGGACTATAAATGTTTTGCAGAGATGGGTTTCACTTTAATTCATCAAGTCCCGCGTCCGCGGCGACTCTAAACAAAGACGCAGAAGCACTGACAGCAGATGCATGACAAACCAAAATAGGACAAATGAGACGTTAATTAGTGTAGAAATTGGGTGGGTTAATACTCGGGTGAGTTTTATATGTGATTTTTTTTTGTTCAGATTAACTGCTTATAGCCTTAGAAAGCCTTTACAAAATACAAACAAACAAATAGATGTGCATTCAAGTTCTAAGAATGGATTCATCCAAAGGAATTCCTTTTGTGGTTTGGATGTTGCAGCCAGTAAAGGATATTTTTGCTCTGTTCAGCCAGGGGCTGCCTGGGGCCAGGCCCCGGGTGGGCAGGGAGGGAGAGGCGCGGGTTCGGTTGTAGAACTCGCCATACTCCGAGTTTACCGCGAGTTTTTATGCTTGAGAGAGATGCTTTATAGATAAGAATGATGTGTTGATTTTCCTGATTGTACTGTACATCTATTAAAGCCTTAGATTATTACATTACGGGTTAAAACCCATACCAATGTAATTTCAATCGTGTTAAGAAAGTATAGGTGACTTCACATGTTATTGTAGTGACTTACCATAGAGAATTTACTTATTTTTTTCTTGTTAAAAGTGTAGTTTTTATTTCTTACATTTATTAGCTCGTTTTCATTTTCTATTACCAGTTGATACCATTTCAGTTCATAGAATTTTGTTTTATTAGAATTTACTGATGACTTTTTCAAAATACAAAAAAAAAAAAGTAGTTTTCTTCATAACATACTCAGTTTGGAATCTATATGTAGTGTCTTATGAGTATTCGTATTATTGTTAACTAAATGATTTCTATTTTACTGATCTAATACGACAATGTAAGAATGTCAGTCATTGTTAGTTCTTGTCTAGTTTTCATTCAAAGAACAAAGATCTTTTATATGGATATCTTATAATTATATAATCATTGCTAAGTAAGAAGTTAAGTTGTTGCTATGGCAACAATCCTGGCAGACAATTGAGTAATATTTTGATGATTTATTTTGTTTGTAATTAGTTATTATGAGAAAAAAAAAATCTAGTTCCTAGATATTAGAATAAAATTTATTTTCTACTGTATCCATTTCAAATGTTAAAATATTGTTTAAATATTTTTTGAAATCCCTGAATATCAGGCCTTGTTATAAATAAGCTGCATAATCAATAGATCAAGGGACTTTTTGTTGATAATCCAAATACTCAAAGTTTACATAACAAGAATTCTAGTGTGTGTGTGCAAACTCTTGAGGGTTGATTATGCTGCAGTTGGGACGTCGAGAGCGAAGGTTGACTTTTTGCACTTCTGTATATAGTCAAAAAAGAGAGAAACCTGTATAATAGTAAGATCTTATTTTGAATAAAAATGTCTATAATTACAAGGAGTTTTGTTAAGGCTAAATAAAATGACAGGCTGAACAAAATTGCTTGCAAAAGTGGCACAGAGTTAGCACTCCATCCCCCTTCCAAAAAGTTGCTTTGCTTTATGTGGACAGCTTGTAGTTTGCCAGGATTTTTTCAGCTGGAAAGATCTGCCATCCTTCCGAGATCTCATGACTGACAGAAGCTCCACTGGGTCAAATCTGCCTGAAAATCATTAAGAAACAAAAAAAGGAAAAAAAAAAAATAAAAAAAAAAAAGCAGGTACTTCAGCCCATCCAGGGAATCATGGCTCAGATATTCCGTACATTATTCAAAATCTACTGCATGTTTAAAGTATCAAAATATATTAAAGATATATGCTATTCAAACCAGTTTCTGACAATTTCAGTGGTTTCTTGTTCACAAAAAAAGATTCTTCAAAACAAATACTGACATTCACAGAGTTCAACCATGGACAGGCAAACGGAACAGCACCCGTAGCTGTAGGTAGGGGATTCTTTTCTCGCTGTAGTGGTCCTGTTCTTTCAGCAGGTGAGGAACAACCTGGGAGATGTTCCCTTTTCACGGAAAGCGCTGCAGGAGCCTGGTCATCCTGCGCGTGCCAAGGCTGGGAGCAGGCGTGGGGCTGGGAGCTGACCCCAGTCAGTAATTAATGAATTAACTGCTGCGCTCGCAGCCCCGGCTCATCTGCGGGAAGGACGGGCGCGCTTGGGTTTGCTCTTACGTAACCACAGACTTACTTTGCTTGTAGTTGCTCCAGTTACGTACTCTGTCCTGGGCTGCAATTTGGGTTTATGCTTATTTTATTATTACTGCTATAGTTGACCTTGCTGTATGGAAAAAATAAAGTGAAATTGCCCTAATCAAAGTTCTCTTTCTTCATTATCTTTTCCTCCACCAGGTTAAAAGTGGCTCCACTGCTTTACATAGGCTTGAATGTGTCTGAGCACTTGTGGGACTGCCCACAATTTATTTGGTACTGGGGCTTTTCTGCACCAGCACGTTCCATCCACAGGATGTGTATTAAAATGCCACCTGTTGTGGATGTTCCTGTTGGAACATCCTGTGGATGTTCCTGGGGGTAAATGCAAAGCACCAGGATCTCTGGATCAGCCCCCGCTGTCATTACCTTCCTGTGGCAACACCTCTGAGGTTCAGGGACACACTGGGAGCCCCGCTGTCGTTACCTTCCTGTGGCAACACCTCTGAGGTTCAGGGACCCCCAGGCCCTCCCTGCAGGGAATGGGGGCCCAGGGAATGAGGGGAGTGAAAAATGGGGGCACAGGGAGCTGGATCCTCAGGGAATTGAAGAGCAGGGAGCTGGGGGTGCAGGGAATTCAGCGTGAAGGGAGTGAGGGGAGCGTGGCACTGGGGGGACAAGGAGTGGGGACCAAAAACCCGAGGAGCACGGAATGGGGGCACAGGGAATAAAGGGACCTGGGAAGGGAGGTGAGGGAACGGGGCCGCAGGAGTGGGGTGCAGCCAGGCAGCGGCTGACATTAGAGGGAGCTCTGCTGCCACGTGTTGCAGTTCCTCGGTTTCCCACAAATCACTGGTAATCAGAATTTTGATCACAGCATCACAACTTTAACTGATTGAAGGAAACACCTCAGGGCAGTTGTTTTCCAGGGGGATTCCGGGTGTCTCCCGTGACCCCAGCACGAGCTGGCCTTTCCCAGACAGGTCTATCGGCCCCATTCCCAGCTCAGCACACCTGGAGCCCCATCCCTGCTGGCCGAGCACCAGTCCCCTGCACTCCCTTGGTCCCTCGCTCAGGATGGCACCAGCATTTCATTTATCCCCCGTGCAGCTGCCAAGGGAAAAACAACGCGCTGAGCGGTGCCGGTGTTCAGGGCTGGCCAAAAGAGCCCAGCTCGATTTTCCTCCGCGGCTGCGAGAGCGGCTCGGTGGCTGCGGGCTCCGTCCCAGCGGGCCGGGTGTGCCCTGCAGCGGCCCTGCGGCTCCGGGCAGCTCTGCCCGGGGCTGTCCTGCCCGGGGGATTCAGCAGCTCGCATGCCTAGCAGAGCCACGAGCAGGAGCTGCTGCCAAAGCGCTCGGGAAGCCGCGCTGTGACACCTCTGGGATGTGGCACCTCGCTGGCCAGGGCCAGACAATGACAGCCACGGGAGCAGCAGTGACAACTGTATCAGTTGTGAAAAGCAAAATAATAGAATTTTGTTCCTCCTGTGTCTGCAGCTGGGAGGCTTTTCTGAACTGGGGAGGATTTGGGGCCTTCAGGGAGGGAGGAAGGGGAACCTGGGGAAGAGTTCGAATCACCTCTGCTCCCTGGGCAGGAAATGGTGGCAGGAAGAAAGAAGCAGAATAATTCTGAGGGTGTTTTTGCATCCAGATATTAGCTGGAATTGTTAAAAGAGCGTATTTCCTGCCCTGTCTGTGGTCCCAGCTGCAAGGTGGCACGATGCCCTGGGAGAGGCGCTGGGACGGGCTCAGCTGTGCCCACTGCAGGGTCCGGGGCACGCACAGCGAGGGCTGGCAGGGTGGCACGGCTCCAGCGACCTGCCAGCCCCAGCTGCGGCAGCTGCCGGGCACGGGAGACAGAAGGGAGAGAGGGAATGGCGCAGGGGCTGGTGGGGGGGATTTGGGGGGCTCAGCCCGGGGAATGGAGGGGCTGGAGGTATCCGGAGCCTCTCCGTGTGCAGGCAGGAGCCGGGGCAGCGGCAGGGCAGCTCCCGGGGTCCGTGGGCTCGCTGGCAAATCCCGGCGGAGCTGCCAGGGCCGTGCCTGGGGGCAGTGCGGGGCACGGAGCCCCGCGGCCGCGGAGGGCTCCGCCGGTCCCTTCCCTGCCCCTGCCGCGCTCCTCTCCCGATGCCGGCCTCGCCTGCCACGCTCCCCTCCGCGGTTCGGGCAGAGCTCGTCCAGCGCCGGGCGCTTCGGGGGCCGGCCCTGCCCGGGGTGGCAGCGGTGCCGCAGCCGGGGCTGCTGCCAGGGACACCCCGACACGGGGTGGCCCAGGGGTCTGGCTGTGGCATCGGCAGCCACAAGCAAAGGGGGGAAAGAGCCCAGAGTGTCTCTTACCAGCTCTGCCAGCTGCTGCTGGCTCCAGCTCCTCAGCTCGTGGTTTCTGGTGCAAAAAGGAAAATGATGTGAACATGTCGTTACTGCATGAAACCCAGTTCTGAACATCTGTGCTGAAGTGAAAACTTCATCCTAAAATAGATGCACAGATAGAGAGGAAAGACGAGCAGCTCACAGGAGAGAGCTGGAGGGAATTCACAAAATCCAACTTGCCCTGTAAAACTTTCGGGGGGTCCCTGAGCCTGTACCAACATTCCCTCTCAAGGGTCCCCGTGCCTGCCTGTACTGACCTCTCCCCATACCTGCATCAGTCACTTTGTGTCTGTTCTCCAGAACGCCTCCACGCTGTTTGCAGAACCTGTGTCCCTGCTGTGAGATGCACACCCTGGGTCTGGGTGCCCTTTCATGGGGTTTAGCCATGTCCTTTTCCTTTGGAGGAGCCTGCTGTGGCCGGGTGTTGGCAAACACGGACACTGGCCTGGCAGTGCCAGACAGCTTCCCTAGAGTTCCTGCTGAGCCCTGTTCCTGTGAGCCACAGCTGCCCGTGCCAGGCCCCTTCCTGGCCCTGCCTGTGTCACCAGGGCAGCCTGGGGCTGGGGATGCTGCAGGACTCGGGTGCCAAGCCCAGCCCAGCGCCCTGGGAATTCCCTGCCCTCGGCCGGGGTTCAGGCCCGGGCTCAGGCCAGAGCCGAGTCTGGAGCACCAATTCTCTGCCAGAGTGAGGGGCTGGTCCCCCCAGGGTCATTCCCTGCTGCCTCCGGGTACCCCCGTGCCGGGTCTGTGCCTTCTGACTCACCAGCAGGTGCATTGGGCAATCTCATGTTTCCCAATCTGTTTGTTGCTCAGGAATTCAGTCATCACGTTGCTCCCAGGGCAGCAAAAGCATAATCCAGCTGCGAGTTGCCACACGCTGCTCGGGAGGTGTCGCGTTCTCCACGGGCAGGGGGACAGGGCTGTGTCCAGTGCTGCGCCCGCGGGCTGCCCTGGGTGCATCCCACAGCCTGACCAGCCCTGGCCCTGCAGCCCGGCTCCCTGGCAGGGTGAGCAGGGCAGCTGTGAGCCCCGTGAGCTGGGGCTGCTTGGGGCCAGCACTGCCACCCTCCTGTGGGGACAGCACGGGGAGCACACAGGATGGGACAGGAGGGGACTGGTCTCATGCCCTGAGATGCCGTACCATGCAGGAGCAGGGCAGCGACCCATGGGCAGTGCCCAGAGTTAGAAACTGCCAGAGCCCTGCTCTGTTTGCTGTGACTCTCTGCTGTGCCATTCCACATTCATCACTGGGCCGTGGGCCTTTCCTCCTCCTGGATATTTCCTGGCATTTTGCACTTCTCCCTGCTGCACCGGGCAGTGCCCCCCTCCCCGCTTCCTGCCAGCCCCAGCCCCGGGGCAGTGCCCACCCCTGCTCTGCCCGGCAGGTCAGTGTCCCTCCAGCCTGCAGCCAGCCGGACACACAGCAGGAAGGACATGCTTCTAACCCTTTTTATTTTCTTCCCTCCCTTTTCTCTCCCCTCAGTCCTGGGCGATAGTTTGTGATGCTGCAGTTTGAAGGTTCCCACTCGTAACAGATGGGCAGCATTTTCTGGTTCTTGATTTGTAAATCCTTTCCTGTGCAGTGGATATTAATGACCACACAAACCAAAGTGCTGCTTTCCAAGGGGCACCAGCTCAGGCTCCTGCAGGCCAGGAGGCGTCAGCAAGGGACCTGGCAGCCTGGCCGAGTGTGCTGTGACAGTACTCCCAGGCAAACAGAATTCTGTATTAATTTTTTAAACCCTCCCATTCTCCCCTTCTGAGCCGAAGCCTCATTCTGGGGAGAAATCTGTTAAACCCAGCACATGATTCCTGTCAGCCTTGCTCCGACGCAGTTTTCAATGGGAACAGGAAGAAACGTGTCAGCGGCTTCGTGTCTCTTCTTGCCTGGGGAACAGGTCCCATGCCAAGCTGGGAATGCCTTTGGCAGAGCTGCTGCCTGCCGAGTGCTTCCCGGCGCTGCTCCCGGCTCCTCGGGACTGCCGGAGCCCCGGGGCCGAGTGCTCACCTGGGCTCAAGAGGCTCACCTGGCCCGGGATGCTCACCCGGCCCTGGATACTCACCTGGCCCGGGATGCTCACCTGGGTTCAAGCTGCTCACCTGGCCTGGGATGCTCACCGGGGGCCGAGCCCGCGGGCTGTGGGGCACGTGGAGCCCCACGCGCGGCTCTGCAGCACCGGCAGCTGAGTCAGCCCCGCTCTGCCGGTCCGGAGGAGGCCCAGCTGTCTCCCCGCCAGGCGTGGAGCGGCTCCAGCCCCCGTGCGCGGTGCCTTCCCCCCGCATGCTGCTGCCACTGCCGGGAACAGCGTGTGCCGCTGCCCGGCTCCTCGGGGATGCTGCGTGTGCCGGGGCGCTGGCACGGGGCTGTGCTCCACCCTCTGCCCGAAAGGAGGAGGAGAGCAGCATTAAAACCGCAGTGGAGCTGCACTTTGTCCTGCGGCTTCGCAAGCTGGGCTTTCTTGTGCCTCTTCTCCTCCCGGGCGTGCTCCCGGGCTGGACCGTGTTGTTGCGGTGCAGAGGGTGCGGGAGGGGAGGGCTCTGCTCCGAGCTGTGCTGGGGAGAGCTGCGGGGTCGCTGCGGTCCCGTTCTGCACCCCAGAGCCCAGCGGTGCCTTTGGGAGCCGCTGTGGCACACGGAGCCAGCGCGGCGCTCCCGCACGGATTCCCCGCACAGCCGGGCCCGCAGTCCCAGCCGGGACGGGTGGTGCTGATCCCGAAATGCCTGAGCCCTCCTGTGGGCACCGCCCGCCAGGGGCTGTTTCTGCAGGCAGGCTGTTGTGTTTGTATGTTTGTGCAGGGTAAAAAACCCGGAGATCAGAACATGAACATCTCTGAGCTCCCGAGCTTTGGAAGTGGATGGGGATCACCACAGCACTGTACAATTCATTAAAAATATAATTCTGATGCGCTGTAATTAAAAAAATACCCTGTTTGCAAATCAGGCGGGGATTTGCTTTAATTAAACGCTCATTGTCAAGCTGCTGCTGGGTTGCAGAGGCCTGAGAGCGAGGGCTCAGTCCGTGAGCTGGGGAGCGCAGGCTGGGGCCGGACGCCGCTGTGCCTGCAGGCACCGGGGAAACAGCACTGGAAAAACGCCGAGAGCCCAGCCAAAGAGAGCCCAGCCAAGGAGAGCCCAGCCAAAGAGAGCCCAGCCAAGGAGAGCCCAGCCAAAGAGAGCCCAGCCAAGGAGAGCCCAGCCAAAGAGAGCCCAGCGCCGGGGCTGCTCCCGCCGGGCTGGCCAGGGCCGCTCCCTGCGCCCGGGCCAGGGCCAGCAGCGCAGCCGTGCCCGGCAGAGGGGATGCCCTGGCACAGGTGATGCTCACGCGCAGGTATGCCTTGGCAGAGGCGATGGCCCCGGCACAGGCGATGCCCACGGGCAGGTGATGCCCTTGGGCAGGTGATGCCCTGGCAGAGGTGATGCCCACGGGCACCCCGCGCTTCCCGCACACCTGAGCCGTGCCTGGCATCGCTCTGGGGCAGGAAAGCCGCAAGACCGCAAAAATGCTCCATGCTTTATCAGGGAGGAAACACAGCACAGCGGCCGTGCTGCCTGGGACATGCCTTGAGCCGGGGCTGGGGACAGCCGAGGGACAGCTCCAGCCTGGCACCAGCGGCTCTGGCTGCCCTGCTGGTCCTTCCCCACCCAGGCCTAATCCCAGGTTTGCCATTATTTGTCACTGGCAGGGGAGTAAACGCAATGAGAGAGGAAAAATTCTGTCACTCACTCTGCAAAACTGCACGGAACTGGAACTATTTTAAGAAAGGGTAAAAAAAAAAGGGTAAACTTTCAAAGGTCTTTTAAAACCAAGGTTAATCAAGGAAAGACTTGGAGATGAGAGTTAAAGGAGTCAGATAAGCTTTGTTGAGGAGAGGTTTTCTTTGCTGTTACTTTCGGTTATGGGTTTATGTCAGTTTTACAGAGCTGTACAGTATAATTTATCCAGTCTGTCCTATTTATGGATGCATTTCAGAGTAGAATGCTGTTAGCAGCTTGAAGCACTGCCATGCTCCAGCACTTTGGGTTTGACACTACTCTATGTGAAAAAAATTAATATTTCGACTCAAAATAGTGACTAGCAGCTATGAATGTAAAAACTTCGCAGCTCCCTTCAGAACCTGTCAGAACTGCCCCGGGAACAGGAATCTGATGTGTTTGCTTGCAGCAGCAGCTCTGAGGGCCGTGAGCTGCTGGGGGTGCAGGGCACAGGGCCAGGGTCTGTCCCAGGGACACTCCGAGCCCTCCGTGGGGACAGAAATCGCCCTCGGGGGGTCTCTGGTGTCCCGGTGCCTCCAGGTGTGGCTGTCTCGGCATTTCCAACAGGACAAACTGTGGAGAGACAGGAGCTGCTGGGAAAGCCCAGAGCCTGGTGTCTTTTTTAAACATCTGCTGGTTTTCCATGGCTGGAGCTGTTCCCCAGAGCTGCAGGAAGTGGCAATCCTTAAAAAAATGCTCAACCTTCCAGCAGGAATGAGTTTCCTGGGAGCTGGCTGTGCCCCACGCCCGATAGAGCACTCCTCTCCTGCCTCCCCTCCAGGAGCTGGGCCCGGGGCTGGATTCCTTCGGTGCACCGGAGGAATCCACACCATATTCCAGTAAATGTAAAAAGTCGTTAATTATTAAGCAGGCCTGTATCTGGGGGAAGTATGATAACGCAGCCCAGGAGATAGAACTCTGCCTGCAGAGCTGTTTGTGTGGAACAGCTGTCTGTGCAGAGCAGCCCGTGGTGGAGGGAAGGGAATTTATAAATAAAAGGCTTACAAAATGTCAACAAAGGCTTTGGCACGAATGGCCAAAAGTTCAGATAAAGTGGGAGCTATTGAGGATCACTTTTCTCAGGCCTGGAAAAGCGTTTGGGAACTTCCAGGAACGAGGATGGTCTGACCAGCCCATGAGCCCCAGCGGGATCCCAGCGCCGTGTCAGGCTGGGGTGCTCCTGGGGCAGGGCTCCCCCTGCCCACGGCCACCCCACACACCCCACGTGAGGGGCAGGCAGGAGCAGAGCCCCCCAGATCCCGGCTGGCACGGTGCCACAGCAGCTCCTGCCCTTCCTCAGCCGCGGCACCGAGCCCGGCAGCCTGTGCTGAGCTGGGGCAGGGCTGTGCCCAGCTCCAGCCCCCGAGGCTGCAACTGGGCTCTGCTTCACCCAGGAAAGGCCCGGGCAGCGCTGCGGGAGCTGGGCTGCGGGCAGGAGGAGGAGAAGCTGCCTTTCAGTGCCCTGGGAGGTGGAAATCCCCACCCCAGTGCCCCCTTCCCGTGCCCCAGTCCCTGCTCTGCTCTGGGGCCAACAGGCCCCTCTAACCCACCCACCTGCCTGGGGCTGGGGGCCTGGCCACGGCACAGAGCAGCTCCCAGAGGGAAGGTGAGAGGGCATGGAGGGAATTAGCCCAGCAGCATGTCCAGGCACAGCCCAAGCCAGGATTCTGCCCTCACCGAGGGCATGGGCACCTGCAGGCCGGGTGCCAGCTCTGGGAGCAGTGCAATCTTGTCTTTATTGTTTAGGTAATAGAAACGATGTGCTTACACCCCAAACCAAACAAAACACCACCCCAAAGGGTGCCATTGAGCTCCTCCACCGGGGATGACAGGGGAAGAGCAGAGGGCACCAGGGCTCTGGCTCGGCTGTGCCAGCTTGGCTCAGCCCCAGCTTCACTGAGGGGGAAGGTGGCTGCTCTGCAGCGAGGGTGGCTGAGGATCCACGTCAGATCAGGCTCAGGTGCACGACGGGGTGCAGCTTCCAGTGCCAGCCGTGTGCTGCAGGACTGGCACATCCAGGGAGGTCGGGGTCCTGGGGGTGTTGAGGGGACAGGGATGGGCTGAGGGGACAGGGATGGGCTGTGGGGACAGGGATGGGCTGAGGGGATGGGGGATGGGCTGAGGGGATGGGGATGGGCTGAGGGGACAGGGATGGGCTGTGGGGACAGAGGGGACTGAGGGGACAGGGATGGGCTGAGGGGACAGAGAAGGGCTGAGGGGATGGAGGGGACAGGGATGGACAGAGGGGACTGAGGGGACAGGGATGGGCTGAGGGGACAGGGATGGGCTGTGGGGACAGAGAAGGGCTGAGGGGACAGGGATGGGCTGAGCAGCGAGCTCAGCCTCCTGGCTCCTGCTTCATGCCAGGTTAGTGCCGGGTTTGGCTCATTTACCAGCTGCCCTGGGGCCCTGTCCTGAGCCCTGAGCGAGCGGCTGGCGCTGCTCACAGGACAGCACCGGGGGCAAGGGCAGTTTTGGTGCCAGCTGGAATAGGAAACAGGTGCTGCCGGGCTCTGGCTCCCCTGTCCCGGTGCCCTCGCAGCTCTGCACGGCGCTTGTGGCCAGGCTGTGGCGGAGCAGAGGCACCACAGGGCCGGGTCCCTTTCCTGCCCCCCCAGCCGTGTCTCTGGATGCTCCTGTGGGGAGGGAGCACAGGGAAGGGCCTCTCGGTCTCCAGACTCTTCAGCAGAGCTGAGTCCTGCCATCCCATCCTGCTGCTCATCCCCAGCAGCAGGAGGGGCACTGACACCCCGGCAGAAACCCCAGGGTTTGGCTGCACACACCCGGGGCAGCCTGCAGGGATTGAACGAGCTGACAGCGCTGCTCCCTTATTTTCAGACGCTCATCCCCAGCAGCAGGAGGGGCACTGACACCCCGGCAGAAACCCCGGGGTTTGGCTGCACACACCCCGGGGCAGCCTGCAGGGATTGAAGGAGCTGACAGCGCTGCTCCCTTATCTTCAGACCGGACTTGTGAGGGTTTTCCTCCTCTGCTCCTTCGTGTCTCCTCGTGCTGCTGCTGGCCCAGCATTGCCTCTGCCCAAGGCTGGAGAGGCCACCAAGGCACCAAAGGCACCCCAGCCTGTGCTGCAGCTCTGAGCCTCGGGCTCAGGAATGGGAGCTTTACACTCCATACAGCAATGGACTCAGGTCCTCTGCAGCCCTTTTCAGTTCTGCATTTCATCACTTTCACCAGGGTGGTAATTTGGGCCATCCTCGTTTGATGGGGATCCTCATCCTCAGCAGGAGGCTGAAGCAGGGCTCTGCTCCCCTCTGCGAGCTCTGCCCTCCACCAGCGCTCCCGCCTCCACCTCTCGATTGCAACAGCCTTCATGGCCAGCCCTACCACAGTTAATTCTGCTTTCAAATGAATCACGCTAAGACATTTATGATGTGGGAGCAACAGGATTATTTTTGCTTCTGTCACGGATGCTGGCAAAGTGACCCCTGCTCCTCCCACTCGTGCTGCAGCTCAGCCCGAGGCAGTGCAACCCCAGCTGTCCCCAGGGAGCCGGGCTGTGTCTGTGGGGCTGTGGGGCTGTGTCCTGTGGGGCTGTGTCCTCTGGGGCTGTGGGTTTGTGTCCTCTGGGGCTGT